TTCAGGCTGTTATTAAATCTAAGAAGGATACACTCGATATTAATTTACTGCAATATGTTATTTGCTTTCATTTGCAACAAAATTGTCACCATTAGCTCTTCACATAAAAATTTTAAAAAAATTCAATATCCTCTAAATTTAATAAAAAGCAATATTTTCAGTTAGCTAAGTCTTAAAATTAATTAACAAAACTAAAATTTTATTTTTCTTCACAGCTTCTCTAATAAAGTATATATAAAATATTTTTTTGTTCAAACATGGTGACAATTTTGGTACATACTGTATATATATTAGGGCTCAAATTAAGCGTATCAAGATTGCGAATCGCAATAGCTTTTGTAAATTAGCTCGTAATTGTTATTTCTAACATATAATCTCTCATATTTAAATATTATCTTAAAATTTTCTCATTTAGTGGAGTTTAAAATAGCATAAGTTACTGTTATAATTTTAAGCTTAAATTTAATTTTAAAGTTTAAGTTGCAGTTATTGTGTTATGAGCAAGTAAAGTATTTAATACTATTAGGATATTACTTTTAGTAATTTTTTTACTTAACAAAGTTAAAAACTTTGAAAAGTAAAAGTAATAAAGTATGTGTAAAAACGCAAATAATCAACTTAAAACACTTTAATATTACAATACTTAAAACACTTTAATTATTTATAGAAAATTATTTAATACGTTCATGGTGACAATAAAACACGTGTTAATTTTAACTGTTATTGTAAAAAGCAATTGCGATAAGCGTATCGCAATTCGACCAGTCATTTCTGATGAGTCTTTATTGATGAAACACTGTGTTAAATGAAAAACTATTGTTAAGTGATTTTCTTCTTTTATATATATATATATATATATATATATATATATATATATATATATATATATATATATATATATATATATATATATATATATACACTAGTGACCCTATATATATATATATATATATATATATATATATATATATATATATATATATATATATATATATATATATGTGTGTGTGTATATATATATATGTATATATATATGTATATATATATGTATATATATGTGTATATATATATATATATATCAGGCTTGGTCGGGAAGCGGGAGCGATCGCTCTCGATTGCTGACCACGTAAATAATATTTAGTTGCGAAAAGCTGGCCAGATTTTTTAGTCGTTTTAAGAACATTTTAAAAAGCAAAAAAAAAAAAAAAAAGCGACAAAGAATAATTAGACCGATGAGAGACAATTACAAAAAAAAAAAAAAAAGTAGGCAAATAAAATATCTTTAAACGCGAAAAAACTTTAAGCTAAATAATTTACATTTAAAACAAATATTTTCGAAACATCGCTTTTTTATAATTTTTTTTATAAAATTAAGCGATGTTTTTTGTAACAACTTACGATTGTTTAAAAGGGAAACAAATATTCTTTATTTAACTAAGTTTGCACGATTTAGTTTTACTTAAGCTAAATTATTTTATAAATAAAAAAGTTAATTTTTTAAATACCTATTTTATGTTTCGCGTAGTTAGAAAAGTTTAACATTTTTAAAGCGATTCTTCTTAGTAAGATAAACAAATGAAATAATTAAATCATTGAATTACTATAGGAATTAAATTATTAAGATAGAAATCAACTAAAAAGGTTAAAAATACTTAATGACCAGGAAGCGAAACTGCTTCACAATATCGCTGATGATGTTTAGTGAGTGGGCTTTTTAATTTTAATTAGTATTTAAAGCAGAAAAAAGTATAACGAGTTTTAAGAATGGCAACTTAAGCGAAAATAATTAGAGTTAGTAAACCAATATCTAGAAACTTTTCTTTATATCTAATTATTTGCTATTATATATTTGTGTTCTGTCGTGACCTCAGGCGCGATGCTTGTTCATCCGCGAGTTACTTTGTATGCGTTGTTTGTGTTTAGTAACCAGAAACTTCTTATACGTTTGTTACATAATTAGTTTTATTAACTTTAACGATTATAACTTTGAAAATGCAATTATGTTTGTAAGTCTTTGTTTAAATCATAAAAATTGCTTCAAAAGATCAAAAGACATTACGATAAAAAACAGATACACAAAATTGCATTTACATAAAGAATACAATCTTTTTTAAAATAAAAAATAAGAATATACTAATAAAATCTATGATTTATAATAAACCTTTAAAATGTTGACAATTTAATTAATATATATTTAAAACATTTATTTTCGTAAACAAATAATATGTATTCTTAAAACAATGCTAGAAATCTCAAAACGTAACAAATCGTGAATAATACAATTTCTAAAACATTTTAACAGAATACTCTAGAACTTTATTTCGCTTAATCCAGTGTATTTTTTGAACCAATAGAATTAGTTTGTTTGTTAATTTGGCGGATTTTTTGTGTTCGCAAATATTCTTTTTATTCTTTCGCACGAAGATAATTTGAGAACATTCTAGTTTATTATGTTTCCATGTATGTCCGTAAAACAAAAATTCTGTGTTTCGTACATAAACTTAAATGTTCTCAAAACAACTAAAAAACCTGGCCAGTTTTACGCAACTAAATATAATTTCCGTGGTCAGTATTCGAGAGCGATCGCTCCCGCTTCCCGACCAAGCCTGATATATGTGTATATATCTATATCTATATATATATATATATATATATATATATATATATATATATATATATATATATATATATATAAATATATATATATATATATATATATATATATATATATATAAATATATATATATATATATATTTATATATATATATATATATATATATATATATATATATATATATATATATATATATATATATATATATTTATATATATAGATATATATATATAGATATATATATACATACATAATTGTTTATCTATCTATATTATCAACCCTCGGAACTAGGGACCAAACTGCTGACGTGAAAGTGCTTGAGGTTGGCAAAAAATTGCCGACCTCGTTTCTATGTTTTATGGTCAGACCTTTGTATCAAATAATTTTTGCCGACCTGATGCCGACCTCAAAAAGATTGAGGTCAGCAAATTATTGCCGACCTCATTTTTCCTAATTTCGAGGGTTGATATTATATATACATATATATATATATATATATATATATATATATATATATATATATATATATATATATATATATATATATATATATATATATATATATATATATATATTAGATGTGTCCAGAAATTTAAAATGAACCAGTTTGTTAATTTTGGTCAACCACCAACTTTTTGAGTTGCCCGTCACTATTTTTTATAAAAATTTGAATTCAGCAGATTTCTTGCATATTCTAGTCATTTTTGATTTTAGGGCTATTGTGTAGGCTAGACACAATTTGCGTAAATAAAAGTAATATTGTAAATTATTGATAACATTCACTTTTCTTATTTTAGATAAAGCCCATGCCAATATATATGCCATTAAATTTTACACTTGAATTAAGCGCTTATTTTATCAAAAAAAAAATCGCTATTTTTTACAACAACAAAGTATTGATGAACATAAAAAAACAATTTACAGATACTTTAAAACCCTTTGCTTTAAATGTGTAGTATTTATGAAGATCTTATTTGTTAAAGGAACCTAAAAAAATATTGATATTTTGAAAGTATTTTAAAGTATCACGTTGTAATTAAATTTAATTTTAAGCACTAAAAATTATTTAAACTAATTTAACAAAAATTATTAATTGAAACTAACTTCAGTATTTGAAAATAATTATACTTCCTTTTAATTTATTTCTTAAAACAATCTTATACCTAGCATAATCTTTTGTTTGTCTATCACAATTTATTTATCTATTTTAATTTTTATGCATTTAATGTAGTATTTTTAATCAAGATTATAAACAATTTATAGATAGATTTTATCAGTTACTAATAAGATATTTGTAAACATAATTTATGTTCTTAAATGTATGATGTCAAAAGAACTTTACACAATATGGAATTCATAAGAAACAAAAAGTATATTTGTGAAAATAATTCTCTTAAACGCAAGTACTTCTCCCTTTATATGAAAAAAAAAAATTTTAAATTTCTTTTTGCTTATAATAATAATCTGCAATAATTTATGATGGAGAGACACATCTATGATGGAGAGACTTATATTTTACTTAGTGAATTAGTTAGCAGATGATTAAAAAACTAAATTTTACATTCAATGTTTTATATTTTACATTCCTTCAAAACTAAATTTAAATTTTTAAAACCATATTCAATTTAAATTCTATTAAAATTAATTTTTTTTTTAATAAAACAATGTTTGTTTTTTTAAATTCTCAGTTACTGTTAAGTACTTTATTTTAAGACCTAATATATTCTGAATAACATCATTTATTCATTATTTTAAGCTATGTGACGCAACTTTAACAACTAAATTAGATAAATGTCGAATTTTTTCATGCTTGCAAACTACAGAAAAAATAAAATGTGTAAACTAATGTGCACATGGTTATTATCTTATTTTATTAAATATGAAAATTAAGAAAAAAGCATTTTATTAAATATGTTTAAACGCTTGTACAATTTTTTTATGTTCCAATTAATAATAAAAAATGTGGAAAACAATCTTTGATACTATGACTTTATTTTAGATTTTTTATTAATATTTTAGATTATTATTATTTTAGATTTGATTCTTGAATTAAAAAAAAGAAGAAAACTAGAACTGCTAATAATATATACGTATTATATATACATATATAAATACATAGATACATATATATATACATATATAAATACATAAAAACTATATAAATACATAGATACATATATATATATACACATATATAAATACATAGATACATATATATATATGTATATATATATATATATATATATATATATATATATATATATATATATATATATATATATATATATATATATATATAAATACATAAAAACATATATAAATATATATATATATATATATATATATATATATATATATACAGTAAATAACTATCAATGAATATACTTTAAGATCAGTAGGATTCACAGCAGAATCAGCATCTAATAAACATTGTGCACATTGGTTCCACCCACGATAGGCAGCACAATCTAATGGAGTCATTTGGTTTGCATTCCTAAACAAAACAAAACAATTTTTATTAAAAAGATGGCTGATAGTTAAACTTTAATATGCTTAACCTAAGTAATTGAGAATGAATTAGAAAAATAAAACTGTATCTAGTGGCTACTAGTGACCCTACTACTAATCTTTATCAGACAATATTAATTTTATAGAGAAAAAATGTTTTTAAAATATTTTGTAAAAAAATGTAACATTTATATAAAGTGCAAGGCCAAATAAAGAGATTTATTTTTGGCTCTTCTTATTTATGCATTAGTACTGAAATATTATAGAAAAGCCATTATCTAGATCATTTGGGGTTATTTTGTTGGCTCAGAGGGAGATTTTTGTGAGCTTCAATGTTTTCTTTATTTAACTATGAAACAAAACTTCCACACTACCCCATAACTTCCCACACTACCAACATAAATTAACAATATTATTACACCAAAATATTTCTACTTGTACGATGCAATGTAAATGCAGCCTTGGAAGTCATGCAAAAGTCAAGAATTGACACAAAGGGGTTACCATAAAACATAGAAACGAGGTTGGCAATTTTTTGCTGACCTTAAAATTTTTAGGTCAGCATTGCCAAATGCTGACTCTAATTCCAAGGGCTGTAAATGTGTTTTTATTTCTTAGGTAAATGAATAAAAAGTGAAAAAAAAAAATTCAATAGTGTAATCAATGTATTTTTTTTTCCCAGTCACAGAGTATTAATAATAAATATTAAACTGCAAATTAATAATAAATCTTCAAAATATTAATAAATATTAATTTGCAGTAAAGTTTATATGTAGTTATTGTAAAAATGTTTTGTTTTATATACCAATCTAATACTTTTTTGAAATAGCAGATTGATGCCAAATCTGGCCAAATTAAAGTTGGTTGTTTATGTTTTTTTTAATAAGAGGAAGATGTTGTTTTTCATTCAGTCATGCATGATCTAATGATAAGGTTTGATTTGTTATAAAAAGAAGCTTTAAAGCCACAACGGAAAAAATATGCTAAACAAGGAAATGACAAATTTGTTGACTCTGATGTACTTAAATCTGTCAGCCGCTTTACAATGTTTTCACTAGTATTAATAATTTGAAAGCATTGAGTAATTTTTTCTACAGAAAGTTTTATAATCTTTAAAAACCTTTTTTCAACACTAATGTGAAACTCTGTGAATAGGGATGGCAATCCTGGGATCCCAAAATTTCATACAAATTGTTCATCCTGAAATCCCGGGATTAGTTTCCGAAATTTCCTGGGATTTTGAGATCGTCAAAATAGTAAAATTTAATAAAGTTTAAGCTTATAATTGCAATTAAGTAATTTGTACATCGTCTTTGGAATTGTAGCTGTTTGGTTGTGTAACTATTTATTCTATTTGCAATGTTTTCCTTTTAAAACTTTTTCTCTATTTTATTAAAAATAAAACCTCAAAACATTTTGGCTTGACTGCAAAATATCTACGATCAAACATGTAAAATATTATATTATATTATACAATATATATGTATATAATGTATATATATATATATATATATATATATATATATATATATATATATATATATAAATATATAAATATATAAATATATATTTATATATATATATATATATATATATATTTATATATATATATATATATATATATATATATATATATATATATATATATATATATATATATATATATATATATATATATATATATATATATACTCATATAGTGTCGCTTTAAGAGCATTTTAATGTAAAAAAAGTCTCTTACGACTACAATTTTAATTACCTCGTCTCTTAAGCTGTTTTTGATTGTCATCGAAATGTCAAAGCAATTAATTTATGCGGAAGTACATTAAATTTAATTGTTTTTTAAAAAATTTTTAAAAAACCGCAATTATAACGACTAGAAAGTTTTTTTTAATTAGTGGTGTTTTTGTTATTGATTTAATAAAAAACATTTTTTAAACATGCGTAAATGTTGCTACATCGACTATCTTATAGCCTGACTCGCAACGGAGTGCTGCTACATCGACTGACAAATAGCCTGACTCGCAACGGAGTGCTGCTACATCGACTGACAAATAGCCTGACTCGCAACGGAGTGCTGCTACATCGACTGACAAATAGCCTGACTCGCAAGGGAATGCTGCTACATCGACTGACAAATAGCCTGACTCGCAAGGGAGTGCTGCTACAACGACTGACAAATAGCCTGACTCGCAAGAGAGTGCTGCTACATCGACTGAGGGTTTGGTTTGGCCAGGCAGTCTATCAATTAAAAAAAAAAAATTTAATTTTCAAAACTTTTTCTGGTCTGGTTTATTAACGCGCTCTTTAAAACTACAGTTTATGGGAAATATTTTTTGATGCTACGCAAGAGACATGCAAGACTATATATATATATATATATATATATATATATATATATATATATATATATATATATATATATATATATATATATATATATATATATATATATATATATATATATATATATAGTATAATATTAAAACTAGTATATTACAAAAAACAAATAAAATTTAAGAGCTTGCTAATGGAAAGAACAAGAGTTTTCAATAGAAGGCATACCTTAATTTAATTTTGAATTTTCTGCCTCTAAAAGTGCGCGCGGTTTTAATTTGATCATCACATCCATTCATTTTAATTTCAAATGTGTGTGTGATTTAAATTCCATTTTTATTTCCATTAATTTTAATTTCAAATATGTAAGTGATTGATGAAAAATTTTTTAACGTCAATTTAATTAATAAGGTTATCAAAAAATAGGTTTATTTAATTACAAAATTTTCTTATCGTCCATTTAATTAATGAAGTCTTGCATATTTATATCATTTTTTAATTACTATTTTTATTTATAATGTGTTACCATTTTAAGGTATTGTTTTATAATTTAAAGTACTTAGGTTCATTAATTTTTAAAAGTTGTAGATAACTTTTAATATAACAAAAACAAATTTATTAAATTAAAAACATGTTAATAAAATTAACATGTTTTCAATTTAATAAATGTTTTTAATTTAATTTTAGGTTCATTAATGTATTCAATATTTTAGTTATAAAAACTGTTATTAAAAAAATCATTTTTAAGTGTTTAAAAAATTGTTTTCTATTAAATCCCAGGAAATCCAGGGATATCCTGAGGACAAATTTCTTAATCCCGAAATTCCGGGATTGAAAATTTTCGGGATTTTTGCCATCCCTATCTGCGAATAAAAAATCTACTTCATTTAGACTTTGCAGCTAAATCTTTTTTAGTTGTTTATTAATGAATTGTTTCAACTAAAGATTTTTCTTTTTATCATTAAATCTTAATTTCCAACCTATTTTTTAACTACACTAAACTAAACCCACACACTCAAAACTTATATCATTTTAAAAAAATCATCAGAATTGGTTTTTTTAAAAATATCAATGTAAAGCTGTCTAAAATTTCAACAGCTCATAGTGATAAGAAAATTGAATAATAAATTAGTGATCCAAACTGAAAAAAAGAATGAAAATTTTATAGAGCACCATTTGTAATGCACCAGCTCAACTTCTTTTTGTCAATAATGTTATTTCCTGACATAGAAACTTACAAAATCATTTCAGAAATTAATTTTCGATTAATTTTGTGCTACAACCTACAACAACAACTTTGGTGTAACAGCTAACTTGGCGTAACAACTTCATTGTTACTACTATAACTGAGAAGTTTTTAACTTGTTCCAAACATCTAATAGATTCAGTTTTCTTTTGGTTTATCATTTATGATCAAACAGTTTAAAATGAAATAATTTTTTTTAATCATGATGGTTGAAACAAAGTCAAAAGCTTTCAAAAATAAGCTTGCTTAACCTAGCTTTAACTATCTTGGATGCATAAAGGATTCAAAACTAACTTTGAGCAACTTTTTAATAACTCATTTAAAAAAGCAAGCACTAGACAAAATCTAATACTAAAGATACAAAACAATTTAACAAAGTATACTTCCTGAAAAATACATAACTAGATGATATTACATTATTTAACCAATAACAATTTAATTTAAATTGAATTAGCAACAACACAACAAAAATTAATAAAATGAATTTTGTTCATTATTATTATTAACATTCTAAAATTGTTCACCAAGGTAATGAATTTAAAGGATTTAAAATTTTTACACCTACACTGTGCACACCTACAGTACGCGTTTCTGAAAGTCTTTATTTAAATGTAACACTTTAACGTAAAAACCTAAATAATACAACATATAAGTATTAAATATGACAAAAATAACAACAATAATATTAACTATAATAGTAATAACAACATCTATAACCAAAATCTATGACTTTTAAAATGCTGACAGTTCTAATTTATGAGGTTACTATAAATTTCACTGCCTCTTTCTATATATGTGTTTGTTTAATATGTATTTTAGGTCACTCAATGGAAAACAAAAGTTACTAAAAACCAAACTTTAAGCAAAGAAGAGTTTACTTATCTAGTTTTTTAAATTTAAGTGATTACTTTATATGTGAATTAAGTAAACATAAAACATTTTGCCCAATGTGAAATCAGACAGATACCCATTCTATTTACTTTATAAACTACAGACATCAGTTTTGTTCTGGTTTCAGATTACTAAAATTTTTTCAAGAAATTAAAATATAAAAGTTAAGGACTTGTTCACCTAATAAAAACATTTTTTCAAATAATAATTAAAAAAATCACTAAAAAAGACAATTAATAGCATAAAACACTGCACATTTTCATGTATCTAATTTAATTTTCATTAAATTTTAATTTTATCATATAAAATCCTTCTAATCTTAGGTGGCAAAAATCAAACATTTAAAAAAACAAAACTAGATACTGTTCTACAAACTTTGACTACCAAACTGTGATAACTTATTTAGTTTTTTTTTTTTCTTGAAAATTTTCTTGTTTTTATATTGTATTTTTTTGCTTAGTTTTCATTTTAATATTATTAATTATTATATGTTTAATATAACTATTATATGTTTAACATAACTATTATATGTTAAATGTAACTATTATTACTTCTTAGTTGCTTTTTTTTCTACTTATTTTCACATTTTTTCACAACTTTTTTGCATTTTATACTTATTTATAGTATTAAAATATAATAATAATAATAATAATAATAATAATAATAATAATAATAATAATAATAATAATAATAATAATAATAATAACAATAATAATAATAATAACAATAATAGTATGAAAATATTCAACTAAAGTAAAACACCGAGTATCTAATGGAGAACCAGCTTCAATAAGCATCTCAACAATTTTAACATGACCTTCCATTGCAGCAAGATGAAGAGGTGTGTTAGAAGAATCATCAACATCATTAACAATACTCAAAACATTTGATAACAACAGTTGAACAATTCTGAAAAAAGAAATTTTCAAATATTACAATGATAACAACTAGCCAGCGACTGTTTCATTTTACAAAGCAAAAAAAAAATCTTTAATCTATATAGGTGCATTACCTAGAGTGACCATACTTTGCAGCAAGATGAAGTGGGGTTAGATTTTCATAACACTTTGCATCGATACGTGAACCTAAGCCCAAAAGTGTCTAAGAACAATAAATTTCATACTTAAAATATACTATTAGCATTTGTTTTTTTCTACAAAAATTTATTAAAATCATACCTGAACAATAATATCATGCCCTTCTTTTGCTGCAGCATGAAGAGGCGTCATTTCATATTTATCAAACTCTTCTAACAGATTAGAAATATCAAATTTACATAAAATCTAAAAAAATTAAAAGAAAACAATAAAATATGCAGAGATAAATGAAAATTCTTTTATTATTTTTTAATCTTGAATATTCTTAGCTATACTTCAGTAAATAATTACTTCTAATGCTTCTTTAGAATTTTCTTGAGCAGCTAAAAATAAACATGTTTTATCATTTGAATCTTTAGCATATATGTTTGCAGAATATTCAAGCAACAACTTTACTGATTCAACATAATTTTTACGTACAGCCATGAGCAAGGGTGTTTCATTGTCTTTATCACGGCAATCAACAAACACTCCTCTAAAATAAAAGTTTTTGTAACATTAACTAAGTTATCTGTTTCGTATAACAAGGATAACAGGCTCTTAGGGGTCGTCCATAAAGTACGTGTGCCAAAAATTTTGAAATTTGATCCCCCTCCCCAGATTGCCATGCGTACTTCCCCATCTTAAAAAATATGTACATTTTTAAAATACCCTACCACCAAACTTTTTTTTTCAATGAAAGGTTTATGGAAAAAAAAATGTGAAGGAGGTACCTTAGATACTTTATACGAACCAAAAGCTCTTTGTTTGCGGCACAGGATCCCAATTTAAAAAACGTCTTCAAATATATATGCAAATATTAATTTTAATAAAGTTAAATTATACAATATTAACAAGTTCGTTGAGCGGTTAATGCTGTGGACTGCAGTGACAGAGGCCGGCGTTCGATCCCCGGTCGAGCCATACTGTACTTTCTTTTGCTTTAATGACAAATCAAATAAAAATAAACTATACTTAAGGCGGCCATTTTTTTTAGGTACCCCTATTTAGTAAATCCGGAAAAAAATAAGTCCTACACAAGATCAGTAGTATCGAAAACAAAGCCTAAAACCCAGTGCCAAGGATAGGCTACCCGTACCCATTAATTTGGATAGAGAGGGGGGAAAAGGAAATACGCAATACTCAGGGCCAGTATATAAAGGGAATCATATGTGTTCATAGGTGCCTACAAGATTGTTTGATGTTCTAGATAGGATACTTTCACACATTTGGGATAGGTATATGGCCTATGCCAAATGTGTGAAATTTGTGCAAGCTCTAAAACTTAGGTGTAACTATGCCAAATGAGAAGGCCTTGCAAAAAACTGGGATGGCAGAAACCTGGAAACAAAAAAGCCCTAAAAAACTTGCCTCTCCCCCTGCCCAAGCGTGAGGGAACCAATGTAGTAAAACTTCAACTTAACCATCTAAAACTAAATTTAAATTTATAGACAGATTTTAAATTTCATAGAAAATTATTGTAAATTACAAAAGTTATGACCATACAAAATTTACACCCTTTCTTTTTCTTTTTTTTTTTTTTTTTGGGGGGGAGGGGGTTAGGGGGTTAGCTTTTTTGTTTCTAGGCCTCTGCTTTCTTAATTTTTTGTAAGGCCTCCTCATTTGGCATAGGTATAAACATACTTAAGTATGTCCCCCCTTCCCGATATGCTTTCGTACGCTTTTTGAAGACCTGCACCCTCCCTCCTATGAGCATATGTACTTTATGGACAACCCCTTATGAGTAGATATTTTTATGGTAATATAAACTACTAATGATTATGTAAGTATTCACCTACTTAATCAATAAGAACTCAATAATTTCTGTGTGATTAAATAAAGCAGCTCGATGCAAGGGTGTTTCTTGAAAGGAATTTTTTGAATCAATAACAGCACCATTGTCAACAAGAAGCTTTGCAATATCCAACAATCCGGAACTACAAGCTAAATGAAGTGGAGAAATTGAGTTTACTTTTGCTAAATTAACATTTGAGCCTCTATTAATACAAAATTTGACAATATCAATATGATTGTTTTCAACTGCAAGATGGAGAGCACTTTGTTTGTCTCGATTGTATGAAAATAGTAATTTAGCACTTAATGTAACTCCGCCACGGGACTCAGCATAACTGAATAGAAGTTTAACAATATCTGAAAAAAAATATATATATTTGCAAAATATATACTTTTATATAAAAAAAAACAATACTTTTAAAAAATATTGTACAACACAATAAATTAAAAAAGTTTTGGCTAAGTGCAACCAATTAAAAAGATTTATTTGCAAAACTCACAAATGCTTTACTAAAAATTTAAAAAGTTACAAAACATTTTGAAGCTCAAAAAATTTTCATAATATTTTTCATAATATTTAATAATATTTTTTAAAAATTTTCATAATATTTCATAATAATTTTTCAAAAATTTTTTCATAATATTAAATTAAATTTAAGAATTTTCAAGTATTTAATGCTTGTGGTTAAAAAAGTATATTCTGATATGGATTACAATCCAACATACTATTCAATACGGCTAAAAATTAAAATATATTTCAAGAGATTTGTAAAAATAAATTTTATTATCTATAAAATTTTATATTAAAGCTATATAAATTTTATATCAAAAGTTTTTATAGTTAATTTTTTACTTATTTTATACTATTTTCAACTTATTATTACCAAGATGGCCTTCCATAGCTGCAAAATGAAGAGGGGTCATATTTTCTTTATCTTTACATATAATTTTCGCACCATGATCCAATAACTGTAGGCAAACATCATATGATCCAGCAACTGATGCACAATGCAAAGGTGTCATTTTTAAATGGTCAATAGCCTAGTAAAGGTATAACTTTGATAATTACAAAATAAAAAAATTAGATAACTTAAATATCAATATCAAAAAAAAAAATTATAACTAGCTTATTAACATTATTTAAGTAGATTAATTTATCTAATAACAATTTATATTTGTTTTATTTTATGCATATATATATATATATATATATATATATATATATATATATATATATATATATATATATATATATATATATATATATATATATATATATATGTATATATATATGTATATATATACATATATATACATATAAACATAATTATATATGCAATATATATATACACAGAAATATTTATGCAATATATATATATATATATATATATATATATATATATATATGTATATATATATATATATATATATATATATATATATATATATATATATATATATATATATATATACATATTTGTTTCCCACCACATCCTAGTAGTACCGCGCTCAATTTGTTTCTTCACGCAACGGTCTTGTTTGTCAAGGCTTTTGTTTCAGAGTTATAGAGTTCAGAGAGAATTGCAACCACAACTAAAGTAGCCTCCTCAACTGAAGTGGCCTTCATGGCCTTGGGCAGGTGAATTCAAATTTAAATATATATATGTATATATATATATACGTATATACATATAGTTTTGAAATTGCTTTTAACAAATTCTTAGTTCATTTTTCTCATTATTTTTTAGATTGGTCATAGAATGTTGATTATTCAAAAGAACTTATAGTGATATTAAACTAAAAAAATTTAATTAATCAGGAAAAAAAAATTAAATTTTGTTTGGGAAAAAGAGTTTTCTTAAACAAAAATGCATATATATATATATATATATATATATATATATATATATATATATATATATATATATATATATATATATATATATATATATATATATATATATATGAATTATCCTGCAAGTATTTTATGCACAAAATGGCAACTCCTTCATCTATGCGAAAAGCCATTTACATTATTCCAAAACTCTTATCAATTGGAATATTGAAATTGTTTTTTAAGAAGCTTTTATTTTGAAAACATCAAGTCGTAATTAATTATTGTAAAAAGTATTTTTACCACAACTGTGAAATTTATACTTGTTAGTTTTTATACTTGCAAATTCCCAAACTAAGTTTTATATATATATATATATATATATATATATATATATATATATATATATATATATTATATATATATATATATATATGTATAATGTAAATAAAATTTTTAGTTTTAATTTATAACTTTAAATTTTAATTTAGTTTAAAAACTTTAAATTAAATATGATTTTAAGACTAATATTTTTATTTTAATTTAATTTTAAACAGATAATTCATATATGTAAAAATAGTTAAAGTAATCTCCATAGATTAATATGTGTGAAAGCAACCAAAAATTTTTACTTTTTAATTAAGAAACATAAATGCATTTTTGTTTAAGAAAACTCTTTTTCCCGAGTAAAATTTAAATTTTTTCTTTCTGATTAAATTTTTTTAATTCAATATCACTATAAGTTCTTTTGAATAATCGACATTCTATGAACAATCTCCAAAATAATGAGAAAAACTTTTATTGAAAAGCAATTTCAAAACTAAAAAAATCATCTTTTTATATATTTGTAATATAAAGTTTACTAAAAATTTTCTCAGATAAATTTTGCCTACAGGCTTGATTATGGTTTATCTGGCAATGCATTTATATACAAATAACAAAATAGTTGAATGTAAAACCAACATAAACAAGTGACTAAAATTAAATTTGATTAAATTTTTTTTTTACTTTGACATAGTGTGGAAATTTGTAAAGCAAAAAAAAAATATTTGCAAAATAAAGTTTTTTAAATTATTTAAAAAATTTATATTAAATTTAATAATACAAATTTATTAATATTTAATAATAAATATAATTTATTACAATAAAATAAATTTAAATTTATTTAACTATCTGCATTTTTATCAAAAAAAAAATTATTTCAATGAAAATGTTTTTTATAATAATTAATTACTGCTTAATGTTTACCATAAAACTATTTTAAAAGACTTTTCTTAATATTTCAATTGAAAAAAGTTTGAATGTAACAAAAATGACCTAATGATTAGGTAAAATTGCCATTTCATACGTAAGGTATGAACAGCGAAACACTTCTTAACAACGCCTGTATATATAAATATGTATGTATGTATGTATGTATGTATGAATGTATGTATGTATGTATGTATGTATATATCAGGCCTCTTTTTAAAGCGATACGCGTAGAGCGATTTACATATTCTTTAAACCATTTTATGTAAGCAGTAAGCGAATTTGATTAAATGACTTTTTATCATTTTTAACTTTAAAATCATTCTATAAGTGGTAAGATAAAAGAAGTAATTAATTTTTAAAAAACTTTACCTATTAGAAAAAAATTTTTATAAAAATGAATTTTTTTGTATATTTTAATATACTTAAAGTAGTGAAATTGATAATACAAAATTGTTGATAAAATATTTATTTACTTATTAATAAAAAGTTATTTAAATGCAATGTTTTAAAAACAAAGATAAAAACGAGGCTGTATTATTGAAAAAAAAGATCAAAGTAAAAATTGCTTTAACATCTTTTCGCTTTTTTTTAAACTTTTCGCTTTAACAACCAGCTACCATTTCACCACTGAAATTATGCAACTAACAAGCCAATGTACAACTTACAATAAACTAAAACCATGTTTCTACATACCTCCCACTGGTCACCTCATTTATTCAACAAGGACTTTATCTAATGCAAATCTATGGACTTTGTAAGGCCTTTACAATCCAACACAACTACATTCTCAAAGTTCTCTACATAAACACATCTTTTTGGTAGTTGACGAGTACTCATGCTTCCTATTTGTACTCCCTAGTTAGGATATAACGAGTGACACTATGATATAATACTTTCTCAGTCTCTTTACATTATTCAGTTCACCATCATCTATTCACACAAATCACGGAACACAGTTTGAAAGTACAAAACTCAAAAGTATTCCTAAAAAACAACAATGTCATTAAAACCAGAACTACTTTGTATCAGCCGCAAGGCAACAGTCAACATGAATAAATAAATGGATCAATACTAAAAGCTGTTAGTCTGGCCTTGAAAACATTAAGTCTACGAAAAGATAGATGGAAGGTAGCATTGCAAATGATTCTATCTTCTGTAAAATGACTGCTTTGATTTGCTAATAATGGAACACCCATCAGAGGATGATCAACTTTCAACGTTCATTAATAATAGGTACGGTTCTACCAAACTTCCTAACAAAACAGGATCCTACAATTCTATACATTCCTATACAGACTTATAGAAACAGTACTGCTCCACTTTATAAGTGTCGAATTTAAAAATGAAAAAATTAATATGGTTTCAACAACCTCGCCCCACTACATGCTACAACTAGAACCAACCCAACCATAGTCGGATGATTGGAACAATGACAAAATTGTTATTAGCTACAGATCCACAATTCTGAAAATAGAAACCAAGACGAATTACACAAGTAACTTTAAACTAATGGATAGAATCAACCAATACAACCAATATAACCAATTACCTACAACAGCTAACCTTCTATACAGAAAGTTACTATTCTGTAATTTTCTGTATAGAAGATTGTATGTTCTGTTTATTCTGACACAGTCTATTATACCCTCAAGAACAGGATGTACTATTAAAAGTCCAAAGTATCGCAAAGACTATTTTCCTTCATAGATTATAATCATTACACCTCACCCTAAAACTTCTTAAAGCAGGTAAGACTGTTTTATTTTTTGGATTATGAATATATATATATATATATATATATATATATATATATATATATATATATATATATATATATATATATATATATATATATATATATATATATACATATATATATATATATATATATATATATATATATATATATATATATATATATAAAGACTACAAAATAAGAACTACAAAATAGATTATATGTGGTATATTAATTGTATATATATATATATATATATATATATATATATATATATATATATATATATATATATATATATATATATATATATATATATATATATATATACATATACTACTAAATTATATAACTACATAATTTTTACTACTAAAATTTTCATGCGTTTAGCAATCATCAGGTAAAAAAAACATTTTTTTTTTCGTTAAAAAATATACTCAATAAACATCGAAGCGTTCAAAAACAATTATACAATGTTACTATTTGCAAGCGTTTGGTTTTTTAATCTTTGGGCTCAAGCAAGAATTTGTTTTCATGAAGGCACTTAGATATTATTTCTGTTTTTTTATTTAATAGTTCTTGCGTACTTTTGTATGATATTAAGCAAAGTTTTTCTAAAGACAAAGCAAGCATTTTTTTGTTACATTGCTGTAGGCAGGGACTTGTTTAATTATTGACCAGGTTAATTTGGGTGCTATTTTTAAGTTTTCTTTTATCTGCCATATATACTTTGAAAGGGTGGTTGAATTTTTCATCTTTTTGTTTGTGAATGAGTGTCTGTGGTTAGCCCAACTTTTCTTCCATTCACCTTCTGCTAGGCCAATATACACTTTTTCTGAGGTGTTAGGGGGTGATACTGTACATTTATAAATAACGTTGGAGGCTATACATTTTCCTAATATAAGGCAGTTTTCTTTATTAATGCAACTGCAGGGTGGGTATTCTTTTGGTTTTTTTGAATTGATTTTTATGTCGTGGCTTTTTATAATTTTTGCAATATTTTTGGTGCAGCTGTAACTCACTTTGGTGTTTCGATTGAATAGTTTACTGAGCGGGTGGGATGTTGGAAAATGTTTGTCGATTAAGTTTAGTAAGATATGTCCGACATTGGTAGAAACGCTTTTACTATACTGGTTGAACCATATTATATTTCTTTTCTTTTTTTCTTTTTTTTGGGGATTATACTTTAAATTAAAAACAGTGAAGTCATTTCTTTGC